AAGCTTTGAGGCTAATTGACCAATTTGATACACTTTTTAAGGAATTATTAAAATTATTTACCAAAATGGTATAATTAATTAATTTTAATCATGCCGACCCCACAAACACGACACATGTCATCACCGCGTGTCACAATTTGAGACGCCGTATAGTAAAATTTATCACACTATATCCCATGGAAAATAATTTAAATTATATTATTTATATATATATATATGTATATATATATATATATTAAAATAATATATATTTAAATGTATCATTTTGATCAATCAGCCAAAGCTTTGAATACCCGGTCGAACTTAGTATGCAACTTGAAAAAGCAATTCAAAAAGACCATTTATTATGTTAACCAAAATACAAATGGTTATTCTTGACGTCTGACATTGTATTGTTTGTACAGATAAATTCTGATAGGAATAAACGGTGTTTGGTATAAGTTTTTTTAGAATAACATCTATCCTTTTAAAAGATATAAATTTATATCCTTTTAGATCCTAACCGTTGATTTTTGTCCATCAACGGTTATAATTTATTGGATTAAAATTATTAATTAATTAATAATAAATTTGGTCTATTAAGTTTGGCCTAATAGATTATAACTGTTGATGGACGGAAATCAACAGTTAAGATCTAAAAGAATATAAACTTATATCCTTTAAAAGAATAGATGTTTTTCCCAAGTTTTTTTTTGTTGAAATGCAGATAAAATGGGGTGGAATTTTTTTTTATCATATTTGGTACAAATAAAAGTAAAAAAATCTTAGGATACTTTTTTCCTACCATTCCCGTTTTTAATGACACATGGGAAAAAATAATCTTATCCCACCCATAATATTATTTTTTTCCACCAATTAGGAAATGCATTTTCACATTTTGGCACAAAAATACCTTTATACAACATATCAGTATATGTGTAAATGAGTAATTTTATTATTTCGGTTCAGATTCCTATCAATATATATTTTTTTTTTTGGATTACATCCGGTATCCCCACAGCCGATAGCCATGAGACTAATCCTTCGTCCCGGGTCAGCGGACAAAGCGGTAAAGAGCTGACCACAGAATGCTTTCCATTCATAAGAGTTGGGGTTCGAACCCCCAACCAATTGTTTAAGGGACGACGTGCTGAATCATTACGTCCACCCACGTGATTCTTATCAATATTTTACAATCAACCAAACATAGCATAAAGTAGAATTAATCCAACCTTCCTGCAAAAAAAAATTGGAAAAAAATTGGCCTATGGAACATCTTTTTGTAATTTATCGGAGAAAAAAAAAATTCACGATATTCTCACAAATCTTTTTTTTCAATAATAAAAATTTTTCTCTCTACCAAACCTCTCGGAGTAGCAAAGTGAAGTTTTAGGAGTAAGTCGCAAAATACGCATGTTATATTGTTATGTGTATTTGCCTCCATTTTCAAGTAAAATTGAGAACATTAAATGCTTTTTATGAAATGACATGCACGAGCAATCGAAGAGATTAAGTTTTGCTTTCGCTTCAGATTTCAGGAACATGTTAAATCCTAAAATTTCTAATTAGAACTCGGTGATTTTTCACGCCAATCGTTGATTATGGATTTGGGTCAAGTCATGTAAGCATGACAACAGCTGATTGCAGCAATCCGATAGTATTGTGTGTGGGAAGTGCCTTTGCTTCAATTGACTGCTGAGACACTTTCCAATAAGAAAAGCACTGAATCTCTTCTGTCCTATCAAGATCCACTTCTTTTCCCCAAGAAAAAAGTTGTCAAGAGTCAGCGACGCGGTTTCTTTTACATGGTTGCTTTTGTGAGTTAGAAAAGTTTAAAAATGAAAAAGGAGGAGCAGAGGTCAAAAAGACAGGGGCATATGAGACAAGGCATCAGATATCAGATTTTGGAGTAAAATGAAAAAAGCATGCTTTGTGAGTTGATGAAAAGTTTTAATGAAAATCTATCCACATTGTCAGTGTCATACCCTGCCGGAGATACCGCTGTAGAACATATAGATGGGAAAAAGGAAAATGATTATTGTTCTTCAATGTTTGGCTTATTTGAATTAAAGAATATTTGAGCTTCAACATAAGCTCGACTGGAATAGGTGCAGAGAATGACTCTTCAATTCAAGAAGGAAGACGGTTCGCTTCAATACGGATTAGAGGAGTTTAAGGAGTCACATAGTACTGTGTGGGAAAATTCAAAAGAATGGAATACAATCGCATTAAAACAAGAGTAAAGCCCTTCGTCCTTGGGGTCTCCATTTTTGTCCCTCGTAACAAAAAAGTCAATTTTTTTTTTTCAGTTTTTTTAAAATATAATCTTTCGTAAATTCAATAAAGATCCAATTTAATTTTAAAAAAAAAATTAATATGAATATTTTTTTATAAAAGACGAAACTGTATTTTTTTATTAGAGACTCAAAAAAACTTTACTCTTAAAAGAATTGTAGTTTTCTAACGGGTTTAAAAAACGAATTATTTTATGTATAACCGGTTTAAGAATTAAATCATTTTATCCGATTTGCTTTGAGAACCAAAAAGAGCTTAACCGATTTTTTTTCTTAATGATTAATATTTGATCACAACAGGTTTAACTGGGCCGATCATGTGATCTTCCTTCTGCACAGCCTGGAACCGTGTCTTGGATCTGAGCATCTTGCAGTTGGGCCGCTTTATTTCATGGGTCTTCTATGGAACGAGATAGGGGGTGTACCTGCAAGACACTCTACGCTCAAGTCAGTTATGGTTCAAACAGGTTTTATTATGCAGGAGAAGATATGTACCATTGTGTTAATAGATATGTATTTATAGTACAGTGATGAGCAGCTTGGAGATGTCTTAATGCTGAAGTATACTTGAAGATGAAGTATCTTGAAGTTGTTTGCTATCATGCTGCCTTTAATGTTGAGAAGCTTTGCTAAGGTAGGCTTTAATATTGTGGTACTTGATGGCTGTCATGAGCTTGGGGATGAAGATGAGATAACAGCCTTTTGGACTAAAGCTTTGCTTCATTGTGAAGGCTTTGGATTTGAGCCTTGTATTTTGGGCCTTGTATTTGTATAATATTTATGCAGATCAATATTTTTATTTATTTTTTAGTTTAAAACAGATTTCAAATCAAAACTAATTCTAATTTAATTTAAAAAGAATTCGTAAAAAGATCAAATCAGTTCAGTTCGCTAAACCGAACCACTAAAATCGATTCGACTTCTGAACCAAATCACTATAATCGGTTCGGCATAAAAAGATTGAATCAAACTGTGGCTGGCCTTAGTTGGGCAAGCTCAAAGCATCATGATTGATTGATGGTAGAGCAAATGGGTTGGTGTGAGCTAAGGGCTTGGTTCCTACTTATACGAAGGTTGTAATATCTCTTCAATGTGCTGATCCCCTGATGAGAAAAGTGTGGTGCCAGAATTTAGATTTGGTAAAATGGGTTGAATTTGATGTGTCAACTCGTCAAAACAAGATCGGTTGAGTTATATATTTCAATCCACCGACATAAATAATCTTTTCATATATGGGATGAGTTAAAACGAATTAGAGACGGGACGTGGCGAGTCAACTCACATATAATTTAAAATATATATATACTTACCAAAATATATATATACATATATATATATAGGGGAATGTTATATTTATAAACTTTTTGTTTACAAACTACACTATGTCTGACCGGTCATATTTCAATTAAGAGTGTGTGACCGGTCAGACTTAGTGTAATTTGTAAAAAAAGTTTGTAAACGGATCCTTCCCTATATATATATATATATTAAATGTAAATTATGGCTTGATTGGTCTATGTAAATAGATATTATGAGACAAAATCTTTTCTTTTTGGGAATAACATCTGTCATTTTAAAGGATATAAATTTATATCATTTTAGATCCTAACCGTTGATTTCCGTCCATCAACGGTTATAATTTATTGGATCAAAATTATTAATTAATTAATAATAATTTTGGCCCATTAAGTTTGACCCAATACATTATAACCGTTGATGGACAGTAATCAACGGTTAAGATCTAAAAGGATATAAGCTTATATCATTTAAAATGATAGATGTTTTTCCCTTTCTTTTAATGCCACAATGCTATTATTTTATGGTAAAGGTAATTTTTATTCACTTTTGATTAGGTAGAAAAAAAATAAAAGAAACTTAAGTTTGTTTTTAGATTTAAATGCTAGTATTTATACAAATCAAACTAATACTTATGAAATTCTAATTTCAGGACGCGATGAAGTGTTCATTTATAAATATTCACATATTTGATATCACTATTTTATTATATAATAACACTTAATCATTAATTAATCTTAAGATATGATTTGTATAGTTATGTAAAATAAAATTATTAGCTTAAATTATTTTTGTCTTTATTGCTTGATTTTTTTTAACTTCAGAAATATTTGGATGTTAGAGATTGGAAATAAAAGATTAACATTAATATGTTTATTTCTTTTTTATAATATTTTAATTTTTAGACGGGTTGCCGAGATAAGATGATTTGGTATTTTCAACCCACACATCAACAGCGAATCAACTTGCCCTACCCCATTATTTGTGAGTTAAAGGGGAAGCAGGATGAGTCGAAATGGATTGACCCATTTTGCCATGGAAGGAATTAACTAGGATGGCGTATTCCTCTGGAGAGGATATAGTGTGGGAACAAGAAAGGAGAAGAGAATATTAGGCAATAGAAACATTTATCCTATATTAAGATATAGAAATGGGCCTTATTGTCTGACAAATGCTATCCAGAACATAAACTGAGTGAGATCAAATATTTCATTTTTATGTCTTTCACTATTTGAACAAGTTTTAAAGTTATGCAAATAGTTTCATACTTCTAACAGCTGCATAATATAACTATAAATTCATGAAAATTATGTTAGTAAGCAATATATCCCACCAGGCCACCATGAACCCTGCTTTAAACTCTTACACCTTTTTGAATGATAGTCATGTAAAGCTCTCATAACACCGGGGCTAAACAAGAGGAGAATAAACAGGGATCCTTCCGGAAAATTTTGTCATCTCTATTACAAGAAGCTTTGAATTTCCCTACACCTTTCAATTGAAAGGCCTAATAGAGCTCTTGTAAATAGGTTTGTAATCAATAGGGTGGAATTTGAATATAAGAGGCCTAATAGGTTTGTCACTCCAAATTGCATACATGGTTGGTTTATTTAGTCAACAAATAGAAGAGACCAATATATGATGGTCTCGATTCTAACAAGATATATGCCGGTACCACTAACCAACGGTCTTAATTTCGTCGACAACGTTACGGTTATAACGAAAGGGAAAATGAACCTTTTCCACGCATGAGAGCCATTTTTCAGATTAGTGTCCTGAAGAGGGAAGGCATTAAAGGTGAACCAGTTAAAACTCCAGCACACACCCCAATTGAGCATGTTTGGGGCCTCAATATATTCTGCTGCATCTACGCCCACTTTTCAACCAAAATAAAAGCTACTAATCCACTGATAACGACTTCTCCAGCTGGCAAGAAAATAAACAAATGTACAAGTGTTTTTTATGTTCTTGCTACAGTCATTCAATAGCCCACGAGAGTAACTATCTTACAGCAGCTCATCAAATGTGAAAGCAAAATTTTAAAAACAACTTCCAGAGCTCGGAGATTCAATGAGTTTTCCACAAAAGATGCACTGCAAGCTATTCTTCATGTGCTTATCTCAGCTCAACAGTCCAATCCATCTCATCCTCTGTAAGACCCATCTGTAATCTCGTAAGGACAGTATAAAGTTGCTGTGAAACCACTCCAATACCGTCTCCATATGATACCCTACAAAAAATTTTAAAAACTGTCAATCAATAATTCAAGATAGCTTTGCAGCCAATCATTGGAATGAAAAGAGAGCCAGGAAAAATTCAGTTGGCTGGATACCTTGTTTAAAGCAAGGTGGAGGGAAAAGGGCATGAATGATAAACATCTGGCAATTTTTGTTTTCTCATTGCCAAAATATTATTAGTCTTGCTTTGCTCTCTCAGTTAACCTATTTATTAATGTACCAAATGCAAATTGTCTTCTGTAATTACTACAACGCACCTCTTGCCGAGATAAGTAACACTGCCAACAGGTGATACAACCACAGCTGTTCCCGTGCAGAAGACTTCATCAGCGTCTAGCAATTCATCCACTGACACTAATCGCTCCTCAACCTTGCACATATAAGATGAAAATTGAAAAATGAAGAATAAATTTGAGCACATTGGGCTAATGCCAATAGTTACAAGAAGCAAAGTGCAATGTAGTCTAAATGTAAAAATGTAAACCTCTAAGCTGTTTATCCTTTTCTGAGAGAATTCATACCAAGATTGTCGTTATCCAAGAATGGAATTGAAGGAATGATTGGCAAGAATCATTGATTAAGAAACAATAGAGAAAGACATAAAGGTGGTCAATACCTAAACAAAAGGCATTCTAGAATCACTCCAGAAATGTAAAGATTTGAGAAGTCTGAGAAGGTATTTTACATGACAAAATTATTCATCTCATAAATGAATTTGCAAAGTTTTGAATTATTTACAGAGATCATGCCAATCAAATCAATATTCTCATCACGGGACTGAGCAGGAAAAAAGCAAGATGAAATGAAGATTGGGATTCATCATTATAAATTTCATTTTAGTTAAGTGTTCCTCATTGCCTCATTGGCAGCTTCCTAAGGTGCAAGTCTGGTATCAGAGGCCAGTGTAGAACTTCAGACCAAGTCTAAATCAACAAGCTGATCTAGATTTGCCAACCACACCTGCCATTTATTACTATTGTCTATTAAGCACATACCCGTCGTTGTACTTTTTCAAATTTAATATGACAAGCATAGTGATGGAACCTATTCTCAATTCAACAGAAAAAAAAAACGACTTGCACAACTCCAAAAGAGATTTCACAGAAAAACAATTATCAGCATTTCATTCATGGACATCAATGGCTACACTAAAAACATAAGACTAACATAAAATGACCGTACAAAGGACAACAGGTTCCCTCTCCTCTGTTGCACCCACCTACTGAGAAACCTTGCCTCAATGGCCTCCCAATTCCCAAAATAACAGAATACATGCATAACCCCCCCACTCCACAAATCCCCCCACCCCTTTCTTTTTATCCCATCCAAGAATATTCTAAAAGAACCCCCCCCAACTAACTAACTCACTCACTCACATTTAGGCCCATCAATACTCCCCCTCCAAAACTCACCTTTTCCTCAAGGTGAAGAAAGAGGATAGGTGAGAGACATTCCACCTGGGGCCCATTGCTTAAAGCATAGTGACCCCGTTATGCTTGAAACTGAAAAATCGCCATTGGATCCCATTGCACTGTTGAGATATATAATCTCACATTGATTGTATGTGCAATTAATGTGGAGTTTATAAGACCTTGGGCACTCACACCCTTTGAGCTAGCTTTTGGAGTGGTGTATCCCAAGGTTCTTTACATGGTATCAGAGCTTGAGCTCTCACCGCCTCCCACTTTCAAGTGGAATTAAAAATTAAAAACAAAAGCACAAGTAAACCAAAAATTGGGCCTGTGCAATTCCACGCTTCTAGCCTAAAGGGCTCTTGCGTGAGGGGGCGTGTTGAGATATATAGTCCCACATTGGTTGTATGTGCAATTAATGTGCAGTTTATAAGACCTTGGGCACTCACACCCTTTGAGCTAGCTTTTGGAGTGGTGTATCCCAAGGTTCTTTACATGCACCATTGAAAACTGTTGTTCCTGTTAGCGCTCTGTTTGTTGTGGCATTTTTGGCCGAAAAACAGAGGGTAATTTCAGCTTCATGAACATTTACATGGTTTAGTCGTGGAAGGAAGTTCCACACAAAATGTCTCTCAGATTCCTTGTTCTTTTGATTTGGGTTCATGCAGCTGGCCTTTCCTTTGGCCCAATATTATTTTCAGAACCCATTTCTTAGATTTAACCATGGTAACCTGTGTCAATGGGTTGGGTAGAGCCCATTTTATTTCCTTCCAGCCACCCTTTCTTTTGGGCCTGGCCCATAATGTTAAAATTGAAACCCATCTGACAGAATTCCAATTCTGCCCTTCCTCTCTTTCCATCTCCTTCAACCCACTCAATTCCCCTAAAATGAGTGGTGTTGTCCTCCGATTCGATTCCTCCATGATCCAACAGCCACTTCTGTTGCAACTTCACAAGAATCAAACTGCTGTCCGTCACTTGTGGGCTTGCTGCCATCAATTGCAGTGGAGGTGGAGACACTTGCGAATCTTGTGAAGCGTGCCTCACCCAGTCTTCTGTGATCAGAACCTCCTCCTTTACGCCCTTCCTACGCTGATGATCTGTTTCTTCTGCACCTTCTTCTCCTTCTTCTATTTCTTCTTCTTCAACCTCTTTTTCATCTTCTTTTTCTGCAACCGCTGCATCTTCTTCTTCTTTGCTGATTTCTTTTTCTTCATTTCCTCCTTCCTCTTCTCCTTTATCTTCTGCGTGTTCTTCTATTTTCTTTTCTTTTTTTCTTTTTTCCTCTTTTGTTTTCTTTGGATGCTTCCATTTCTGCCTCTTGATTCTTCTTGGACTGAAACCCACCATCACCATCATGTTGTTTTATGACTTCCACAATTAGAGCATCTTGCTTCTCTTCCCATGCATCTATGATTTTTACCAATTTCTGCAGCAACTCCTTCACCTCTGATGTGCTGGCCTTCTCCCAAGCCCTAAGATTCACTCTCATGGTTGTCATTATCATAGTTTTAAATAGCGGGTAGTGGCCGACCCCAAAAACGCTGTAGCGGGTAGCGGTAAAGCCACTAGTGTGAAGTTCATATAAATACTTACAATAAATTATACAACATATCTAAATTCTATAAGATAAGGAATCACCCAAAATAGGAGGAAATGAGGAATGGAAAGTATAATACTACACATTCAAAACAAGGATTCAAGGAACATAAAGGAAGCAAAATACTATTTTATTGAAAGTAACTAAATAACATTCTAGGAACATAAAGCATCCAAGTAGAGTCAAATACAAATTTTCAATGGCTCTTTCAAAGTCAAGAAGGAAAAGAACTAATCAGAAAACAACAGGGGCTGCTCTGCTTATGACAATTGAAATAGCGGGGCTGCTTCAGATATACAAAACCAAAAAGATAACATTCCCTCCTTTTCTTCTGTGAAAAAAAAAACACTGGCTTTTTGTATAATAAACTAGGAGAGGAGAAAAGTATCTTAGTAGAGAGTGCAACCAAGCAAATTTGCCAGGACAGCCAAACTGTGTGGGACTATGAGGAAGCTAAAGACTGAGAATGAGAATGAATCAAGGCCGTCCATACAGAATCATGAATCAAGCTAAAGAAAACGCATCATAAGATTGGAGAGAGACGACTAAACAACAGAGCTGATACCTGAAGAGCTTCATATTTGCAGAGAAACGAGAAGGAGAAGATGAAACCACCGTCGCAGAGGAGTTTCCCTAACAGCACATAATTCACCAGGTTGTGGTTTTGGGCTCCAAACGACAATAGCGTTTAGTAAATAGAAAATTAAATCAAGAAGAAAAATCAACGCATTTATATTAAAAAAAAAATTTTGTACATGCATTTATATTAATTTAAACTGGAAAATATCTTTGCTGCATAATTTATTAAATTTAGTAAAAAGTAATATAATTAATTTTTTCATTTTATTCTCCTGGTTATTGACACTTACATTCTAACATTTTTAATAAAAGAATATCTACTCCTTATATAAAAAAATATACTCTTTAAACTGATACTCTATCATGTGATTACATGTGATTATAATTTAAATAGGTGAACTATGTGAAAATTTTATATCTTTTCTACACTTTTTTTAAAAAAAATTGTATTTATTTCATATATCCTTATTTAAATTATATATTTAGACATTTTCAATATCCATAAAACATATAAAAAATTTAAATTACGTAAAAATAATTATTGAAATGGAGGGTAAGGCTATGTCAGTAATAAAAATTGTGAAAATATATGGTCAATGACAAAGAAAAAGAAGAAGTTAAACTAGCAATAAGAATGGATCAAGGCCGTCCATATAGAATCATGATTGTCCAGTGGTCCCACCATAGCAGGGTAGCCAATGTGCATGTGACAGCTGCAAGGAGTAATAACTGATTTTTATTTTTAAAACGCTGGCTTTTTAGATAAAATATCTATTTTACCCCTCACTTATCATGGCTTTTTCCCATTATACACTTAAATGAGACTCAAGTTTTCAAAACCCTGCCACCCGCTTTCCACATTTCGTTTTCTTTTCTAGATGTTTGTAACTCATCTTCCTTTCCTTGTAGCAGCGCGATAGTGCCGCAAGAGCTGCCATCCGCCACCGCCGCAACCGGCCGCTACAGGAAATCGTCGCGTTGCAGTGCGGAAGTAGCAGCTGGGTGCCGCAACACGCAACTGAAGCGCAATAGCGCACTAAAGCGGCACTGTTTTAATCATAGGTCATTACTTCAGAAATTTGGACCAGAAAGCACCTCCGGATCGAAGATGCTCTAATACCAAAATGATGGAACCTATTCTCAATTCAACAGAAGAAAACGACTTACACAACTCCAAAAGAGATTTCACAGAAAAAAAATTATCAGCCCTGTTGCACCCACCTACTGAGACCCCTTGCCTCAATGGCCTCCCAATTCCCAAAATAATAGAATACATGCATACCCCCACTCCACAAACCCCCCCTATTTTTTATCCCATCCTCGAAGAATATTCTAGAAGAATCCCCCCAACTAACTAACTAACTAACTCACATTTAGGCACATCACATAGCTTAATAATAAATAAAATATCACAAATGTTAGATATCAAACAGATGATATTCAACAATCATTTCCGTGACTAAAAATCTAGTACCTGGAACCCTTGGCTTCGAGCAACGTCAATTATACTTTTTCGAGTAATGCCAGGTAGGATAGTCCCTTTAATAGCTGGAGTTGAAATAATGTTACCCTGAAAGAAAATGGAAATTATGGCAGCATAACGCAGTAAGCTCTAATGAAATAGTGTTCTAGAGCAATATAAATAAACTTGAACATGGGGGGAAAAGGAAGTCAAGAATATAAACACAATAGCACCAATAAAAGTTACATCAGAATACAGGCTAAACAGACAAGATTGAAAAACTTCATAATCATCAAGATAAGAATTACATGAGATTAACAAATCTATTCAGATTAGTAGAAAAGAGCCAAAGATCAAAGCTACCAGGCCGGTGGTGAGTTATTTTTGCAGGATTCTATGGACAGTTTACACAAAATAATCCTCTTGGCATCATGGCCAATATGATAGATACAACTCAGATACAATTCGTTTGCAAGTCTCATTTCAGAAAAGTGATAAGCAAAAAAGGCACATCTAGAGGAGAGGATTTAAGCTGTTGAAAGCTTGCAATCTGATGAGGCACCAGCTAGTTGAAGTGAGCACCAAGGACAAAAAGGCTTATGAAGCACCGACTCCGACACGGCGTTTTCGATACGTTCCAAATACGTTCTCGATACTACCATTAATTCGTCGATACGATACAATACGTTTCCGATACGTTTGCGATACGCGTATCCGATACGTTGGAAAAAAAATTCGGAGTATCGGTGCTTCATACCATTACTGACTGATTTTGCAAGGATAGCTAAAAGAGTACCACAAATTAGGGGATAGGGCTCATTCAGGAAATTGATAGAAAAATTGCAGGAACACTAAAATGCATGGTGATTCTGATTACTACGTTATTGATTTTATAATCCCAGCAGTTATATGTTGAGGTAAATTGCTTATTGTATTGTGAGCAAAAAGAAAAGGTGGCAAATAATACCATGCATGTAAATATAACAGCCATCCATTTTAACAATGACCAAGAAACAATATAAACATAATCTTAAATTCAAACTAATTCCTTGAGTATAATACCTTGACAACAAAAATGTTGCAGGAAGAAACCTCCTCCAAATATCTTTTGTTTACACAGTCAAGGTATAAAACATCAGAGTAGCCTTTGGCTTTTGCTACAGACTGTGCCTTCAGAACCTATGAAGAATAATTGCACACATGCACAAAGAGAAAGAAAGTTGGGAATTTTTTTAAAAAGAAAAAAAGAAAAAAGAAAAGAAAGACAAGAAAAGACAAGACGGTAAAGTATGCCACTAGCAAGAAATGAGAATTAAGATAAAGAAACCAAACAGATGACTTAAGCCAACCCTGTGAAATGGTTATTATAAAAGTCAGTTCTATCAATAAAAAATAGTTGTGAGAGGAAGAAAAGTGAAGGAAGCACAAGAAAATCCTCAGTTTTCACCTATCAACCCATTTAGGAAGTACAAGAAAGAAATTTATTTGTATGTAGTTACAATTACAAGTATAAAATGCTTAATAGAAATTTAAAAAAAATGAGAAAAATCCTCAGTTTGAAATCGCTGATGATTTAAATTTAAGGCAAGCCAAGAGAAGAACATCTGCAATCAAATGACAGTGGACAAATAAACAAGAAAATAGAAGGGCATGCAGTCTGGCTTACTGCAGCATAGTTTCCAATGGTCTTCACACCTCCAGTGCCACCAGGAGTTGCACGATGCAATTCATTCTCAACAATCAAATTGATCGGGGCCAAACCTTCCTGTGGTGATATTGATACTCCATAAATTTTTGAAGGGACATAATTATGTAAAAAATTGCAACTATAATATATATAGAAAGAGATGAGTGTGATTTGTTATGTTGGAAATAATAAAAATTATTATGATACTATCATATCAATAATAGTAAGTGGGAGAAGTACAAAATAAATCATGCAACACAAGACAACTTCATTCAGGCCTTGCTAATAATTCCTACAAAGAAGAAAAAGAAGGTAACATTCTGGACCTCTACAATACTCCAACAAGTTTTCATATTTTCAAACTACAAATTCAACCCATTCAGTCACATAAACAAAAACCACATAAAAAATAAATTTATATTAATGTTGCATCCCAAATCTCATTATATCCAGCAAGTCCCTAACTCTAAGCTATTTTCGAGTAAATCTTTCGAAGTTCTCCAGCTTATGGGATTTGGATCATAATTTGTTATTTACATCTTAAAGAAGATATGAAAAGCACATATAAACAAAAGTATAGATTTCATATTTCAATGTAGCAATAAAGGTACCTTACCTTGAAGTAGTTTCCAACCGGTGAAACATATATTAGGAAGGTGTACTCTGGAGCAGGTGCAAGACCAAGTACAGCTCCACTTCCCATTAGCAAAGGTCTAATATACAAGGAACCTTTACCTGAAGGAGGAACCTGAAACCAAATTTCACCTAATCAATCTGATGAGTACTACAAACTATAAAATGTTTATGGCAATGATAGTGTTTCTATAGTACCCAACGTTTGTTTGCTAATACAGTATCTTTTACGGCTTCCACAAACTGCTCTACAGTAGGTGATGGCATGCACATCCTCTCCGCGCCCATCTTCATCCGCAAAGCATTTTCTTCAGGACGGAAGAGGAGAATATTCCCATCTTGTTTACGGTAGGCTTTCAAACCCTCAAATAATCCCTACAGTTGCGAACCAGAGAAATACATTCTTTAACAAATAAATATACCATGCAAATTCAATTCAAAAGTAAAAGATACTAATTAGATTTCAATTGTAGACCAACCATAACAATGAATACATTAAAGAACAAGTAAAAGATAGACAGGATTAGGACTCTTCAAATTGTTAGAGCCGACCCAGATTTAAAAGAAAAGATCTAAGACACTTTAATACATACTATCAGCCAAAGTATGATATACTCAGTAACTTAACATCTTAAAGGATGAAATATGCTTTAATGCAAACATGTAATCGACTAATCTAACCTGGCCGTAGTTTAAAATTCCAGCGGAGGGGTTCAATTCAATGTTCCCAAAACGCTTTAGTTCACCTTTAGAGAAAGTACCACCTTGAGGGCATTTCATGATATACATATAATCAGTAGGTTGAATGCCAAATCCAAGGTTGTCCCAATCTATGTCAGCTAATTCAATCGTTTCACTGCACCATTCGATGCCATTACAATCAAACAACGGGAGCAAGAATAAGACGATTAAAACTAAAAATAAAAAATAAAAATAACAAAAAGAATGAAAGAAAGAAGGACCTATAGGAATTAGAGAGAGTGGCAGAAGGCCTGAGAGGAGAAGCGGCTTCCAGAACATTCTGGGAGGTGAGAGGAAACTGCTTCTGGAGCTACAAATTGAAAATCGAAAAAATGTAAGGAGTTTGCGAGAGAAGAGGGAGAAGGAGAGGGAAATGGAAATTACCTTGAGAGAAAGAGAAGGCCTCGACGGGTGAGAGAGAAGAGGGGAAGAGTGGCGGGAAGGGTAGATCGGGTAACTTAGTCGAATGCTTGCAAGAACGGCGCTGCTCTCCATTTTCTAATAACAACAAGGTCTGCAGTTTCGGCGAGCTATGTAATTATGAATCTGAGAATCTCTCTTCTTGTCCGAACACAGATTAATAACTTTGGCTTATATACATACAATGAAACAGATAAAACAGCAAAGATGCAATAATAGGGTTGTTCTTCGTGTTGACTAGTATTTGTGATGGCGGCCATTTTTTAATGCTTTGCATCTCCTTCTTATCAACTCATCGAAGCCCAAAGTTTTATCATTTCTGATAATTTATTTTAGGGGATTAATATTTTTCTTGAATGAGATAATTTTATCTTGAGAAAATTTTATTTTCTTTCATTATAATTTTGTGATTTATTATTTGACTTCCGTGGTTTTAAATTTATCACTTAGATTTACTGTGCTGAAATAATTTATCATTTAATCTCCTATGATTTCAAATTCTAACTTAGACCCTCGTGGTTACAAAAAATTTCACTTAAACCCTTTTTGGTTTAAAAAATAAATATTTTAAAAACATATTTAAAATAAATTTTCTCTTTTTTTATTTTATATCCTTATGTAATGCAATTAGGGTTTGAATAATATTTTAAGTTATTTATTCTGAAATTAATTTATAAATTATCCTAATTTTTTATTTTAAAAATATTATCTAAGATGAAATTAAAAAAATATTATTTATGATAAAATAAATATGTATTATCAAAATAAGATATTTACTTTATTTAAATAGATAAAATAAACATATTTGATTTGAATTTATTTTCTTGATAAAAATAAGTGAATTTTTTGTCAATTTTGTTTTATTTTTTAAACCTTAAACACATTGGGTGAGGATATACAATAAAAAAGAGGGAAAATTTATTTTCGTCTTATTTATTTCTTAAAATTTTTATTTTTGTAACAAGGGGTCTAAGTGAAAATATTTTAAACCACAAGGAGTTTAAGCAAAATTTGAAAATCACTGGGAGTTAAATGATAAATTATTTAAGTACAATGGATTTAAGTGATAAGTTTAAAATCACGGAGGGTCAAATGATAAATCACAAAATCACAATGGGTGAAAAAGAAACTTTTTCCTTTTTATCTTATATGTATATCTAAAAATATGTAAAAAATAAAATTATTTTTTAATGAAAAATATTAATCTCTTTACTTTATATGAGAAAAAGAAGGAAATATTATTATGATGTTATATGAAATAATTTATATCATTTAATATACCAAAAAATGGGTACAATCCATTTGTTTCTTTTATTTTCCTTAGCAGGTATAATCTACATTTTTATAGGTTTGTGAGATAACTTGTCTTCTAAAATATAAGAAATAATGCCAAAAAAAAATTTATACGCAAAAGCAGACAAAATCAGCTCAAAGTTAAAATAATAAAACAAAATATACTATAAAAAATTATAAGTCGTTGGTTGAAATATGCGAGCCCGTTTAACATGCTCCGAGAGCTTCTATGCCCATTCTAAAAATAGAAAAGAAAATGAATTGAAATGAAATTTAGAAAGAAAAAAAATATAAATAAAAGAAATTTTTTCTTTTTTAGTAAAGGAACATGAGATAATGTTGTGGTCCATGAGCACATTAGAAAAATCCGAAATATGCACCATTCTGTCTGTACTTGATTGGGTCGGGCTAAACTAGTCTAAAACCTAGCTCAAAGTAGAACGCATTTTGAGTCTCCTCAGTCCTCACTCCACTCTCTTTTCTATTGTGAACTACGCTTATGCTCGCGATGCCTTGATTTTATTCAATTGAAAAATTGAGCATTCAAAGAGTGGAACTGTATGCTTTGCAACTTCAAAACAGTCAATTTCCTGTACTTATATAAACACATTATTGTAAATGTCGAAACCACGAAAATTTCTTAAGTACAGCGGAGGTACCATTTGGGTATATTTTTTTTTAAAGTGAAAAATTTTCTTCGCATTAAATTCAACTTTTAATTTATATTTTTATTTAAGTCTCAAAACTTTTTCATTTTTAGGCAGAACGTACTTATATCACCCAAAATTTGTTCCAAAACCACAATAACATTCTTTGTAAAATGTACTTGACATCAGTTTTGATGCCTTCTCATTTTAAGAGAGCTCCGACCTGGGTACTTAATGAAGCATATCAGAATGGCTATGAGGACATCCCAATAAAATGATGAACCACGGCATTAACTTACAATAACCACCCAGACATTATCAAGATCTTCATTCTTCAGATAATTGTAGTACTGACCACAATCATATACAACAACACAACACAATTCTACCTTTAGAAACTCAAATCTGGAGGGTAATGTGCTTTAGTTTCACCTCCTTTAACTTACCTTTTAGTTTCACCTCCTTCAAATGTCAAAACCATACTAGAAAAACTCACTAACCAAAACCAATATCCTCACATTTAGGGGTAATGTGCTTTAGTTTCACCTCCTTTACCTTTTAGGCTATTCCTTTCCTTTATTTTCTAATATAGTTTTTTTTTTTTTTATAAACTTCTAATATAGATTTTACTATCTACTCTTTTTTCTTTTCCCTGTTTCTTTGGGGGAGCCCAAAACTCTTTGGGAAGGATATTTTTATCAATGGGCAAGCGATAAAACACAATAAGTAAACCGACACTTCGTATATAGGTCTTTTACACTTATATGATTCTCAATTAATCTAATTCTAACCTATCTGAAACTTAAGTCACCACTACTCACCTACACTAGATTATTTCCAACATCAACAGTCTACAACCTAATTGCAAGTTGCAACTGTATCCATATAATTATGTGCATATAGCAGACATCCCCAAGTTATCATCATCTCTCCATGGATGTCCTATACTCCAAGCCACCGCTCAATAAAGCGAGTCCCTCTCCAAACTCCACTGATGTCCTGCATTCAAAGAGAGGAACGAATTCAATCAACATGATATTTTTCAAAATGCATCACTATCTGTAAAGAAAGTGAAACACAACACAGTCAAGACTCGAGGAATGTACATCTAGAAACGCTTTAGCATTGACTCACCCTATACACCTCTGATACATGCATGTTTTAACAGCGTTAATTATCATTACGAAACTGCATATCCATCCCCTATAGTCCCTGTTCACGGTCAAACAACACATGCATGAATCGGAGCGGAACTTGCGCGAAAAAAAAAGCAGTATAAATTGGAAAGACAGCCTGAAACAGACAAAAGTTTCCAGGCCTAGATGGCAGCTCGACTGCTTGGTTAACCATTGTTTCATCAGTTAAAATCAGCACTACATAATTAGATTGTTACTCAGTTTCAAACAATATCAGGCACATATAATGTAATTTATAGATAAAACACAAAGGAATATATACATATTTGGACCTAAAATATGTCAAACAGCACATACAAGAGTGTCAACCACAAGAGTTGAAAGTCCAAATTCTAATGCCAAAATTTGTAGAATAGACTGCAGACTAAAGTCAAAGCAGGATAAATCAGACCTTTAGACACTCGCCATCGATTTTCATTGTTCAACTCTTCGACAACATGAAAAAACCAAAAGTTCTTCCCCCTCTCGATCTATCCAAGGGATTTGAAAACAATTTACAATCAACGAATGTAAGATATGTGTACAAAATAATATATCCACACAGAAAAGGAAAATAGAAGCAAACTGAGTGTAACTCACTAAAAGTGCTGCGAAACTTGTCCCCTGATTCCTCTGCATATTCCTGCCGATTTCGCCAAAACACTGGATCCACAAGGTAAAATATCCATCTCTATAATTTGAGAGTTTGATTGATCAAAGTAGTTCCCATAAGGTCACACTGATCCACTCCAATTGTAGGATTACGCAGATGATCTATTGGTTCTGGATAAGGGACAATGATAGCATCAACCTTCTCATAAGTCATACATGTATGACCTTATCTACAATTAATTTATGAGTAAATATAATATAAAATTATTATTATGACTTTTATCTAATAATTTAAACTTTTGGATTGAATTAGTTTTTTTATATGGTATCAAAGTCTCCATATCTAAGTGGTTACACCACCTCTAATCTATTAATAAATAATTAAATATTATGGAGATAGAACTTGTGTCTTATCCACCTTTCAAATCTAATGAGTTCTTAAATGAGAAAGCGAGTTCTTAAAATATAATATAAAACTATTAATATAATTTTCGGTTAAATAGACTCTTCAGTAGTAACTTCAGTGTTCCCTTGTGTTTGATTTGATAATATTAACAACAGCTGGACGTTTAGATTCATATTATTGGGCTGGAATCGCACTGAAAATAAAAATCAATAGATAACTACCGCAATTCTACATATAACAATCTATGTTATCATAAAAGAAAAAAAAAATATATATATATATATGGAAAAGTGTTTATCATTTTAAATGACATAAAGGTATGTCATTTTAAGAGAGAGATGGACACAAAATAATTTAATTTTTTTAAATTTAAATTAAAAAAACCACTCACTTTCTCATTCATGATTTCCATTTCTTGTGTTTATCTCTCTCCTAAAATGACATAACTTATGTCATTTAAAATGACAAACACCAAACCCTATATATATATATATATATATATATATATATATATATATATATATATATATGGTAAAATCATTTCTGCAGCCGCTTTACGTACAACAATGATAGGTGTATGGTTATGATTCCCCACATTTAAGGATTTCATCCTTTGTATGATTATGATTCCCCGCATTTAATGTTTTCAAGTATGTATATGACAAGTATTTGATTGCTGCATGTACAACAGCTGCAGAAATGTAAACCCCTATATATATAATAAGGGTTATACTTACAAACATTATTTTTTTTACAAACTACATTATGAACTAGGGATAATACGGTGTATGCTGGATTGTACTACTCTAGTACATAGTGTAATTTATAAGAATTCGTAATATAAATTTTCCATATATAAGAATTCGTAATATAACTTTTTCACATATATATATATATATATATATATATATATATATATGAGGTAGGATATTCTTATTAACAAATGTTCCTGCCACCAATCTACTACCATTTTTCAGCCGTTGGATCTCACTTTTTAGCTGACAATCTCTGAAAAGTTTTCAAAGAGAGAAAAAAAATAGTTTTTAATATACTTCGGGGAATACATAATTGTATTCGAGTGGTAGTAGATTGATAGTAAAAATGTTTGGTAGTAAGAATATCCTATATATATATATATATAGGTTTTATTAATCTTATATTAAAAAAGATAAGTTATCTCATGTCATAGAGACAAATTTGTGGGCTCCACCACCTGAAAAAATAAAAAATGAAAAAAATGGCACAGTTAGGATGTATAGGAGGAAAAACTTATCTCGTGTGGCATGTGAATAACTTTTTTCATATATATATATATATATATATATATATGGTAAAATTATTTCTGCAGCCGCTTTACGTACAGTAACGATAGGTGTATGATTATGATTCCCCACTTTTAATGCTTTCATCTTTTGTATGGTTATGATCAAGCAAGCACGGACAAGCAAATTTTGAAAAATTTGTGTGTCGGACACGTGTCCGTGTTACGTACAGTAACGACAGGTGTATGATTATGATTCCCCACTTTTAATGCTTTCATATTTTGTATGGTTATGATCAAGCAAGCATGGACACGCACAGACACGTTCCGACACGCGGTCAACATTTGGGGACACGCGGTCAACTCTCCAACACGTTCCGACACGCAATCAACTTTTTCCGACACGCAGTCAACGCTCCGACACGCTCAGACACTTTTTTTTAATCTTAATTTTATTTTATTAACTAAATATAAAAAAAATTATAAAATAATTTTTTTCTATGATGAAATTTGACATAAAAAATTAACAAAGTACGAAAAATTATTTATATTTATATTTATGTTATGAAATTTAAATATTTGATTGGTTATATGACTTATTATGGACTCTTATATGTATTAAATATAAGTTATATTATATATATTAAAATTTTTATTTAATATCAAAATGTGTCTCAGCGTGTCGAAATATGACATTTTTTAGAATTAACGTATCAGCGTATCGTGTCTTGTGTCCCGTGTCGGTGTCCGTGCATAATAAGTTATTACTCCTCGCATTTAATACTTTCACGTATATATATGGCAAATATTTGATTGCTACATGCACAGCAGATGCAGAAATATAAACCCCTATATATATATAGGGTTTCGATTTTCTCGTGCGGTAGGAGAAAATTTTCTCATGCTGTAGACACATCTTATGTGGGGCCCACATTTATTAAAAAAATAAAAAAGTGAAAGAAAATATTGCATGAAAATCGAAGAGTCACTAGTAGGAGAAAACAACTCTCCTACGACATGAGAAAATATTTTCCCATATATATCGTATTCTCAATTTGTGGTCGAGTTTCTTATTATGTATTGTATCTAGAAGTGGATCACAAACTCCATTAGCCAAGTTCCAACTGCCTCTTCTCCATCTATTCACTCGGTGTCCATTGGAAAGCAAGGGAACAATTTTTCCACTCACATCTTTCGTAATTATAGATTCAAAATTATTTATTCCGTTAACATCTTTAGCTGGAGATGGTACTTCAAGTATTACTTTGGTTCTCCAAAAGAAAATCTCATTTGTTGTCTCTTGCTAACATTACCAAGTGGTTTGTCATTTCCCAAGTGATTTTTCCCATTGCTAAAATTAAAAGTATCACAAACCACAGCCTTATCCTCATTATCCATGAGTGGCTTCTCAGGATAATGCCTAAAAATTAGGTCAGCACATCATTTGAGCCATGGGAATCGAGCCGGGCTTTGATGTTATTAGCATCTATTTCTGTAGGGCTCATAGCATATTTTACTAAAAAAAGAGACACCTAATAGAATTTTCAAATTCAGGGAAGATATATCAATTTTATTTTTTTTTACCTTTTTTATTGGTATTATTATTATTTTTTGTTCTTATTCTACTGGTACCGGTGTCCCTGGATGTTTCTCCAAGATAGCATGAGCTGAATTGGTTAATAAATTTGAATAAACTCCAGGAGGCACAAGCGAAACTGTGAGAATTCAAAATAATTTTTTTTTTTCATGACATTGCATTGAATATTATTTAGAGAGTATAACTGCTCGTTTGTGTGATTTTCTTTTTGAGAATTTTTAGATAATGCTTTTGTTATGTATATTTTCCTAAACATGTAATATTTTGTATGTGTGAATTCATTTGGGCCAAAACTGTATTCTTTTTGTTTTTTGACTGATACTATCATTTGGAAAATTACTCTCATTGAATATATGTTTGTCGGCCAAATGGCTTTAGTATATTATTTGTCCCTGTGGCCCAATTGTTTTTTCACATATTGGTTTTTTAGCTAAAGTGCAACACTGCAAGTGAAACACAACATTTTTTGCTTTCATGTGATGGTTGTTAGTTAATGACTTGTATACATGCTGACGCCGTGGCACTTGTTTTTTACTGACTTTGCTTTATTCTCAAATGCTCATCTATTTTCTTTCTTCTATGCGTGAGTTTTCTGTGAAAGAAAAATCTAGGGTTTCCTTTGTGAGGCAAATCTGATAGGGAAAAATTGAGAATCTCATCTCGGTTGTGTTGAGAAAAATGTTCCTTAGTCCTTGGTACATCATTTAATCGGTTCAGATTTTTGTGGTTCAATCAACAACGAAGGAGACTTGAATCTTGGTGACATCTTTCTTCGGTAAACAAGAGTTCGTGAAGGAGCTGAGCTAGGAGCACTGGACGGAGGTGCTGGCTTGTGAAGACGGTGAAGTCTTTCCTGTTTCTTTTTTCTGTTGTTGATTAATATTTGAATTTCTTGATGTATCTGGTCTGTTGTTGAAGATCAATGTTGTATCTTTGTATTTCTATTTTTTTTTCCTCTATGTTATTAGCTTGCATTTGTTGTAGTTGTAATTTGTTATTAACTGCAACTGCTGAACATATTTGTATCTGTTTGCTATCTGAATAATAGTGCATGCTAGAGGGTGTTTGACCCTCATAGGCTAACTTGGATGTAGGAAATTCTTTCACAAAAAATTTCTGACCCAAGTATAAATTTTTGGTGTGTTGTTCTTTATGTTTTCCCCTTCTGCAAGTCTGTTTTCTGGGTTGATTTTTTGTAGCTCTATATCAAGAATTGTAACAGCTTTGATGTGGAAATTAGGATTAGATTCTAGTTTGAAACCATATCATGTGAGGTTTGAGCCTAAACAGTTAAACTTTTTTTAGAGAGGCCTCATTGTAGTGGTACTATAGAACTTGATCTGTCTCTCTGTGATGCATGCATGAATTGAAATGATAAAGGCATTTTTGTTTTTGTTAACCACTTGGCCAATTAGCCACCTTAAAATAATTTTTTTTCCATTGCTAGCCCTTTTGATCCTTAGACTAATTTTGTTCAATTTCCCATAAATTACTTAGTTGATATTCTTATTGACTCACCTTTGACTGAGATCAAAATACTGATCATGGAAAATTCAAGATGAAGTTCTCCATTAAAAGTTAAGTGATAAAAAGGAAAAGTGTATCTCATAGGAAAAAGAAATTTGTCTAAGAAGAGGATGTGCAAAGGAAAAGAAAGAAAATGTGAAAGAAAATTTATGCTCTAAATTATTAGCAAGAAGAAAAAGAAAAATGGTGAAATTTGAATGAATAATCTTGAACTGAAAAGAAGAAAAGTAGTTGAAAATATTGTCTGAGTTATGAACAAACCTTGAAGTAATATCTGTGTTTCAATCTCAGCAATAACTCAACTACGTCCCAAATATTCCTACCCTAAACTAGGCCAAGTTACAATCCTGCAAAGATCTTTTGATCAGTTATGCATCTTATCTATGTTTCTAATCTTTAGGAACTTGAG